GTGCCTGTGTTTAAAGCTGAATACAGAGAGAAAATACATATATGGGGATTGATATACATTATTGTCCAGCCACTCCTGAGGTTCACACAGCTCTGCCCCACTGCACAGCACTATCTGCCTAGCAGGGCAGGGGACCCAATTTTTCTCCGCTGCAGTTCAGTAACACTTACAGGTCTTGCCCCTCCCCCAGCCTGTGATTGGACAGTTCAGGAGAACAAGCAGACTGGTTGACTCTGCCATTCCTCTCCTTCTGGCAGCATGCTCCTAGTCAGCACAGCCGATTGGCTCCTTGAGCTGCTTCTCCCTCTCCCAGTCTGAGGTCTGCTGTACAGGGGACAACTACAGGCTGATACTGGGCCAGATTCAGGTATATTTGATTCTGGACAATACAGATATATTTCGGGGGTCTTGGCATATATTGGGGGGTAAGAGCCGGGCGCTGGGTCACATGACCCCCTCAGATAAGGAAGGCAGCTCTGGCCCGGTCAGGATCCTCGGAGTGCTGTGGCAGAGGATTCGCCGGAGGAGGAGAGGCAGACTGAAGTGAAATTCGGGTCATAGAGGGAATGGTCAGCGAGTGCCGGCTGCGCGGCGTGGTGCCAAGTCCCCGTATGTCTGTCCGCAGCACATCCGCGGGAACGGCCGGAAGATTCATCGCCGCAGACAAGACACGAGGAGGACAATGTGCCCGGAGGCGCCCACACACACAAGAGGGCGTTCCCCCGACCTGAGCGCTTATGGACCAATCAGGGACAATCATACGTCATAAGACCGTCCCAACTGAGTCTCTCCGGGTGACAACCGATCTTTACCGTTTTCCACAAAGGGGACCGCAGAGCCCCCCCCATCCCCCCACCTGCCCCAGGGGACCTGCCCTGTGCTTGCCAGACAGATTTCTGTACATGACCAGGAGCTATAAATTGTCTATATGAACCTTCAATCAGCACCAGCGTGCCCACTGCTGTCCTTACTGTCCCAGTACAACCACAAGTCCCAGCGTGCCCACTGCTGTCCTTACTGTCCCAGTAAATATAATGATACAAATATCAGATCTTCCTGAATTCTATTACAGGGTCTCCGCTCACTAACACAAACTCTTTGGGTGTCTATTTATAAACAATTCCATTGGACCTGCAAATCTCTGTGACTGTTCGCTCCGTGCAGATCGATGCACAAAACGAACGTTCTTCTATATTTTTTTATAGTCGATTGTATTTTTGAATGTCATCTTGTAATATTATAATGTGGCCACTAGAGGGAGCGGAGGAGCACGGGGAAGAAGTATTTGTTTATTTTCTGAGCCTCCAGGATTGAAAGCTGAAATTCAACGAATGAAAGGGATGGGGCCAGGGATAGTCAGGCTGGGGAGGAAAGTG